GATATGTTTACAAGGACTTTGAGCACACTGGTAGCGCAAGCATCGGAACAGAAGTCCTTCCAACCCAAAAACCAGAGTAAGTCAATTCTGAGGAGCAGAACACGTAAATGTATGTCCCGGAGGGATTTAGCATGGCGAAATCACCAGGGTTGCCCGAATGCCGAAACCTGGACTGCATACGTGACACATCGTAACTTCTGTGTGAAACTGATCCGCGAGGACAAGGTCACGCATCAGCAGAAGTTAATGAAGCGATTCTGCACTAACCACAAACTCCTGTATAGGCACATTAACGGCCTTCGAAAGGTAAAGCGAGGGGTTCCGGCGCTAGTCACAGCTGATGGATACACGCGGTCAGCAATGGAAGCAGCTGATCTCCTACGGCTTCATTACTCTCAAACGTTCCAACAAGTGTCGAGCCCAAACATTCACCTCATTTCTAATACTCCACCATCTGGTTTAGAAAACATCACCTTCACTACGGAGGCTGTGTTGAATAAGTTGTTAGCCTTGCGTATCCACAGTTCTCCCGGAGCTGATAACATCCGTCCAAAGGCTCTACAGGCAGTAGCTAGTGATCTAGCAGAACCACTGGCTGTTTTCTATCAGCGATGTCTAGAGGAAAACCTTATTCCACCAGTATGGAAGCAAGGGGTCATCATTCCTATCCATAAAGGAGGTAGCCGCACTGATCCTGCAAACTACCGTCCAATAACACTACTTCCCGTACTATCCAAAGTGATGGAATCAATCGTCGCAGACGCGCTGATGCAATATTTGGAAAGCCACAATTTAATAGCCCCAGAGCAACATGGCTTTCTTCAAAAGCATTCGTGTAACACTAACCTATTAATTGCACGTAATAGCTGGACTGAAGCTGTTGATGATGGAGTTGGAGTCGATGTCATCTACCTTGATTTTTCAAAAGCGTTTGATCGTTTAGACCATCGAGTTCTCCTTCAGAAGCTTCGGAACTACGGCATTGGCGATCCAATCCTGAGTTGGATTAGCAATTTTCTACAAGAACGACGGCTAGTGGTGAGAGTCCGAGAATCATTTTCTCATGCAATCGACGTGACGTGTGGAGTACCACAAGGCTCGGTTCTTGGACCTCGTCTATTCTTGGTGTTCATTAACGATTTGGCGAGATCAATTACTTCCGATTTCTTATTTTTCGCTGATGATATCAAGATATGGCGAAGGATCAGAGGACCGGATGACCATGAACGGCTCCAGCACGATCTTAACACAGTGTCGAACTGGTCAGTTCAAAACGCTCTACCGTTCAACGTAGACAAATGTCGCGTAGTACAATTACGCCATAGACATAACTACACCTACATACTTGGGACAAAGGAATTGCAGAATAGCTCCCAGGAACGTGATCTTGGTGTGATCGTACAGAGCGACCTTAACTGTTCAAAACAGGCTGAGGTAGCTGCCAAAAGAGGCAACCAGCACGTCGGCATGCTGCGAAGGGCATTCGGGAGATTTGACCCATCAATCTTCCCAATGATGCTCAATTCCTACGTGCGCCCGCAAGTTGAGTACGCAATCCAAGCTTGGCAACCTTGGTTGAAACGCGACCTAGAAGCGATAGAGGCACCACAACAGAGAGCAACAAAGAACGTGATGGGCCTGCGTTATCACTCTTACCAACGAAGGCTGAAGTTGCTGGGAATTTTCAGCGGACGCTATCGAAGGCTGCGCGGCGATCTCATATTAGCGTATCAAATATTGAGTGACCCCAACCACGTATGCCACCATTTGCTGAAACTTAGCCACAACACGCAGCTCAGGGGTAACTGCTTAAAGTTGAAGGAACAATATAGCCGTCTAGAGTGTCGACGGAATTACTTTTCCCTTCGAGTTTGCAAACCATGGAACGCACTCTCAGACTCAGTAGTATCCTCTCCTACCCTGGATGTTTTCAAAAAACGATTAGATGTTGCCCTCAGCTTCCAACATTTTGTTACCTAAGCTCCTCTGTTGTGGATTACGCCAAGCATGTTTTCAACAGGACTAATGTATCAAATGGACCTAAGTGAGCGACCATATTTTATTTTCTCACTCCTTACCTCAACTATCACTGCGCCCCAGTGTCTTTCTGAATGTTTACGCGCGATATTTCTTTTTCATTTCACACTGATGTTAAGTATCAAAGTATTCATCTCGGCAGACGTTCGATAGATGACCCACACATATTTTAATTGCATCATATTCACCGCTACCATCCTACGGGACATGTCAAGCACTTGCTTTTATCTCGTGATAAATCATTGTTCATTGTTCACAGAATACGCGACAAATCTCCCTACTTCTCACTAGTCTCCAAACATGTCTGCGTCGACACCTTTATCCTGCTCGTATTCTACGCGTTTCGGTTGTACCGCAGGAAAGTCATTTAATAACCGCAGTTGACATTGAAGCAGTCACCGGCAGTTACCTTTATGCGACATTTCACGCAGTTATCAGACAGTCAGTGCAAAACAGTCAGTATCAAAGTTGATACTCCCTTTATCAATACAGTTGCCGTTTGTACCGTATAGTTGTTTTCTTCCATGTCTTCTATCATCATTATGCATCTACCGGTCAGTTAGGACGCGCTCTATCGCAGTTAGCTTATAAATCATGGCGGTTCTTAACCACCCGCCTATGTCTCAACGGTATAAGATGCTGACTTGTGGTCATGGATTCAAATCCTATTGGATGCGCACTATTGATTTGGTAACTGATGCTATGAACCCTCAGCTAATTACATCAAAAATCCCCTATTCATGAGCATAATTACCATTTTTATTGCTTCGATTCGGGTCGCTACATTGTTTCACATTGAACGAATCTACATCTGGTCAGGACCAAATCTTAACTACTCAATCCGCTGGTGCACTCCTTGCTGACTTGACGACGTACGTGATCGATTATTGACTACGTGAGTTGCGTACTTATGGTTAAACCGCGGATTTACTTATCTCTTGTAAGATTTAATTTTTTCTATTATCTATATGTCACCGGGAACTTGCCTCAATGGTTTCTCACTAGCGCGTATTCTGTTGCTGTTGGCTAAGTAGCGCGCTTTAATTCCCTTCACTTTACAACTCTCTCCACGAAGTAGGCAAACATCTTTTTACATTCTATACTATACACCTCTTTTTGATCGCCGCATTTTCGTGGATTTTGTTGACACATGCATTTTTCAGTAGAGTGGAAAACACAACAAAAGGAGGACCTTTCTAGCTACTAAACTGGTAATACTTATCGAGAAAACTATTTGCCTTGAAGCAAATTTTATGGTGTTTCTACCACTGGATTCGTATTCACAGTAAAACCACTGTTGTGTTGCTAACTACATGGAATTTTCCGCTAGGCTTCCCTTTTGTTTGGTCTCCGCAGGTGGAGATGGTTGTGAGTGCGAATCCAGACCGGAACCACGCGATTTACGCCTGACAGAATTCCTCGTAAGCTAAAACGCCCCATGCACAACAGTTGCGTGTAATGTTGAGAAATAGGCTTATGAGCATTTCCGTCGCACTTGCGTTGATCGAACTAACCGTGACTAACTTCAGGCTCAATGGTTTTTACGGGTTTTACTCAGCTAAACTCAGGCACACAAACAGAGGAAGCGCTACATGGCCGTTTCGCCCTATTGGGACTCGTTTGTAGCGCGCACCCACCGAATCCTGTCGGATTCGAACCCACTACCTTACCATTACAAGCCGGTGACTTATGCCACTGAGCCACGGGTGATGGCAGCGGACCGCCATGACTGATATAACGCGGCTCATCTCCCGCTGTCATGCACGTTATGAACGTGCATAGGACGGGCTGGTCTTCAGTGCAACGACTTCCTTTGCAAGCCGCCACTAATCGGGATGGCATGTGAGCTGCTAAGGCGACTACTGACTTTTGTAAGCAGTAGGGTGGCTTTGTTAGGTTTTTGTGAGGGCTCATCGCAGCTAGACTCAGACAGACAGCCGCCACACATCCGAGAAAACGCTACACGGCCGTTTCGTCCTATTACGAGCCGTCAGTTGCGTGCACTTGCCGGATTCCAACCCACGATCCTACTCTTACGAGTCGGCGACTTATGCCGCTGAGCCATGAGTGACTTCAACCCCAACAGTGAATTTTCGACTGCTGTGGGACACGCTTTCCTCTCTGTAACTCAATGCATACAATGTCCGCTGTAAACGAGGTATTCCGAGTTTCGACCCTTAGCCTCAGCTGTTTCAACCCGGGTGCTTAGTATCATAGATCACTGGCGTCAAGGTAATGGGTTCAGATCCTGTTGTAACCGACGAGTCCCGTTAGGATGAAATGGCTGCCTAATATTTTTCCGGATACCTTGCGCCTATCTGACTTGACAATCACTGCGATGAACCTTCGACAAATCATATCAGACATCTCCCAACTTTGAGTGAATCAAAACAATTGAATTGTTGCCTGATGACTCCACAACGTTATCAAAAAAGCAACGTCGATTGACGAACACAGTTTACTTCGTTTTTCAGCAGGTCCACAAAATAACATTCTTCTTTTTTGCTTCTGGCTATGTAGTCTAGTCTCGCCGTTAGATGGGCACAAACGGGCATGCAATACATCACCCATCCGTTTGAATGGGGATTGGTATTCCACTGCATTGAGAGGAGGCGTTGATCGGGACGCTTGGTCTGTCAGACTTCTTCTCGGAAACTCGCTTGTTCTGTTTGGTAAAAGGTGAGTGGGTTAGATGAAATTGGTTAGTTGCAGCTGTAAACGGATAGTGGAACAATCATCATTGCTGGATTGCCTTATAGTTCTTCATACGTCTCGCATTAAGAAATTCTCCCTATCATCTGGCTTTCCAATCTAGGCGTACCCCATGATGGTTCACCCACATGCTTTAGTTAGATATAAGTGGTATGCCTGGCGCGGCTGATTGCAATTTGATTTGACAATTACAATCGATAAAAGGATTGGTATGCTACTTCGAATAACACCAAACACTGACTATTTGTTACGGAACAGAGTCCGGCGTTTAATTGACCACTAGGAAGTGATGCGAGACGCAAGCCTCTTCCGTGTGTACATTCGGGTCCGGTCTCAGTTGTACGACGCGCTGTCTGCGTTGCTGATGTGGCAACGCAAATAGTTCGAAACTATAAATAGTCACAATTATAAATTTTTGTGTGTTTCAGCCCCTTGAAGCAATCTCACGCCTAATCTAGCGACCTTTCGCTGGAGGATACTCACATCTGTAATGCTAACGATGTGTATTGCTGCACTGTGACGCGAGCCTTAGTACTTTAAAATCGAACTACTCGTCCGGGGTGCACTAGGCGTTTTTGCAACCACGGCGTTTCGTGTTACAACAATCCGCAGTTTGAATTCCTGACAGAAATCAACCTCCTGATTTTAAGACCATCACTTAAAATGATAGAGCAATACAGTTGCTTGGAATATCGCAATAATTTCTTTCACGTTTGCCTATATCAACCCCGAACTCAGTCGCTTATGGCGTCACATTGGCCTTTCTTAAAAGTTATATTTAACTGAAGCACTGAGCCACGTACATTTTGCCATATAGAATAATTCTACCTTTCGTATCCTTAACTAAAAGCCTTGGTTTTATTAGCCGACGATTTTTGAGATAGAAAAACATGATTAAATTTGAGCCGATATCCCCCATGTACACGCGGGCGTAAACAGTCAGTTTCTTGCCAGAGAATGTTCCATATGTTTCATTTCACTACATTCATGAAAGTGTCAACCAGGATACCCAACAGCGCTTGTAGATCACAAATCTTATCATTCCTTATAAGGTCGGCCGAGTGGTCGGCCCGTTTGACTTGCAACCATAAGGTTATATGTTCGAATCCGCGTAGGGGTGGGCGTCCTCGCGGTATACTCAGCCCGCGCGCGACTGGTGGTGGTCGCGCGGCAGCGAAGCGCCGTTACGGCGTACAGCTGACACATTATTTAGTCCACCGGTGGCCGAGTGGTCTGCACGTTTGCTTTGCAACCATAAGGTCACCGGTTCGAATCCGCGTAGGGGTAGGCGTCCTCGCGGTATACTCAGCCCGCGCGCGACTGGTGGTGGTCGCGCGGCAGCGAAACGTCGTTACGGCGTACAGCTGACGCATTATTATTAGTATTCGTAATAAGTCGCTGTTCATTATCATGGTCTGCCCACCTATATAACCACAACACCGTTACCCGTAACTATTCTATCCAAACCGTGGCTTGCGATACACCGATATTATGTCCAGAGTCGATAGGCGCGTCACCATTTCACCGGGATGCCGAGGACTTCCTCTTAGTATTTTACGATGTTTCCAACTCGCCCATAGTTGTCATCATCCAAGGTGGTGTGTGTTTCAATTTGAAGATCTGTGATGTAGTGTCGCCTGGCTTCCAGTCCACGATCATGTGCATGGGTCCGGGCGCTTTTTCAGTATCCGGAACCTAGTCCAGGTGCTTGCATAGTACTAAAGTATCAGCACTGAATTCTCGTCTATTAAGATGTCCAGTTATTTCTAGATCATGTTTAGGGCTTTTCTGACTTGCGGTGATTTCACTGCAGTTTTCGTATGTACCATTACCGTTGAATGTGCTGCCAATCATGCGTTAGCCATGGAGAGTCACTGCCTAATGTGTCCTATCCGCGAAAGCAGAAGAGTAAATGCAGTAACTTAACCAAATGTGTCTGACTCTGTGTCTGAGTGTTCACGGAGCAAACCTATATCATGTGCCTAGGTGACTACGATCCGCTTAGGTCAACTGCGCGCGGGTTGCTTGTTCTCTCACATTAACGAGCCAATAAGATGGCAGTTGAACTGTTCGCCGAGCTTGGTAATTTGGTTGCAAATGTTTCGTCACCAATCGAGATGGCGACGCACTGATGATGTCACTTCGATTGTTGACGAAATGTTTGCAACCAAAATGTCAAGCTCAGCGAACAGTTCAGCTGCCATCTGAACTACCAGTCTTCATTACTATAGCTAGCTAATCACTTCTCATACCCCTGAACTTACAACGTAAGTTCCACGAGTCAGCTGATTAGTACATTCCGGGCTGTCCAGTCTTGTTCTGTTTGCCGGATTGCTGTCCAGAAACCTTGCGTTATGCACTCACCAGTATGACTATGTTTTAGTGTGCCTTTCATGTGCAGACACATTGGACCAACCAATTCCCATACAATGACGGACATGTGTTGTCCAATATACTCACTTGGCAATTGGACATGTGATGACGATAAGTGACTGAATGGCAAGGATGAGTTAGTAAATAATGAAACCTACGACAGAGGTGATACAACACTGAACTTACTTCCTCTCTCCTTCGCTGTGTGTAATTTTCCAGCTGTTTTTGTGCTAACGCCAGCTGCACATCCGGAGTGCTTTCCCCGCGCACCCATGAGTGTGTGAGTAACCGCGCAGTGTTCATTCTCAGGAGGGGATCAACCACCAGTAAACGCTTAACCACATCCCGTCCGGTCCGACTGACTTCAGCCCACGAGTCGTCCGTAAAATCAACATCAGCGTTTAAAATTGCTCTATACAGGTCGCTTTCTGTTTTTGGATAATATGGATCCGTCCCCCGGAGCCTGGTTAGGTGGAACGAAATACGCACATATTGTTTTGGTGGTTTCGCTCACAACAGTAAAATGTGAAGCATTCGGTACCATTGCCCACAACTACAGACGGGTGAGTGGCTGAGATGTATGAATGTAAGGTTAGCACGTAAATTCTTCTTTAGCTTCTTATTTTGACAGGTTTTAAGGTGCTGCTTCTATTAGTTGTTAAATGGGGGCGCACACCGGAATTTTTCAGGCGCCCAGACAGTGGATGAGCCGTTCCGACCGCGTTATTTCAAAACATGACTGGTCATACTTCTAGACTTGGTTATTAACCGTTGAGCTTTTGCTGGATTAGACATCATTGATCATCTAATGATGTGAATGCATAAGCAATGTAAAATTATTAACGTAATTTAAATCGTGATTGATGTAGTCACCGCTCAAGGCGACCTGAATGTCATGCTGTTGCAAGAAGGAAGTGGCAAGAAAGCCCATTCTTGATTGCACGTAACCACAGTTTAACAAGCTGCGCGAACGCGCGCATATATCTGTCTTGTTTCCGTCCGACAACGCATTACACAAGAGGAATTACAACATGTCACCTTCCTGCGTCGTTTCTCGGCAACTTTAGGGAATTGCCTACCTGTCTGCTCCCGTATATTCACTTTCATAGCTCGCATTCTCACCAGTCTAAAGGCTCTTGATGTACGTGACTTCGGTTGCATTATTCAGCTTAGGGTTACTCCTGAATGCACCAATAAAGGCGTTACTGTCTGGTTTATTGGCCTATTGACACATCCCATTTCTGTACTCTTTGGTTCAGGCCCGTTCCCGTTCTTCACTCGCGATCCGCCTACCGTTCGTATTGGGTTTGCGTTGCACCGTCTGACCTCGTCCATGATGTCTGCGCCCGTTTCGGTCCCCGCTCGTTCTATATCATTTCCCACCTATGTTCGTGAATAGTTCAATTACATTCGTTTAATCACGAAGGGAACTAGTTTGTTACCCTTTCAACTTCGTGTTGTTGACATCGGCCGTGATTGCACGCAATCGTATAGTGGCCTCATTGTTTCGCACTGCCAAGTGGACACAAAACCGAAGCTGCGACAATTTACACCCTATTTACATGTAATCCTAACGGACTTTAGATTGTAATATGCCACTCAATTCCATTTTGTGTGCTCTTTCCGTCACCGGTAAAAATATTGGAAGGAAATCTATCAGTTTTTGTGAAAACTGCAAATCTTTTTCAATCATCCTGTGATCCGCATTGTAGTGCGGTTTATCCTACGCATTTCATCACACGTCGCCCAAGTTCCACTCATCCGACACGGAATAACCAGCTCTATCCAGTGGATCACAAAGCGTAGGAACTATTCCATTGTCTTACTAATTTTAAAGATTTCTCAGCTAGCCGTCCCCATCAACTGACCAGTTTTATCGGTTGACGGCGATCGATTTGACCTGCAGTCGCCTCAACCGCGCCCTCTCCCGAACAGCGCTCCGGTCATTAAACAGGGTCAAAACTCACACCGGCAGCCACCTGACAGTGCGGCGTTTAAACCGGCGTGTGAACTGAAACCAGCGTGTGTCCGTTTTAAGTCCGGACAGGTTGATTTTGTTGCGTTCTCTCACTTCCCAAGGCAGTGTCGGACCAAGAAAAGAAGCGCCTACATCCACCGGTCTGACTAGGGCACACAACTGGCCAGTTGGAAAAGTACGCAACATCAAATAGCTTACTGTGTAAGGGGTAGCAACACTACGACGAGTAGCAGAAAGCAACTAGATGCGAATCCGAAAGGGCTTCAGTTGAAGGGAAAAGGCGAGTGCGCTGAATGTACCTGATTAGTCACATTCGGTTTACCTTGTACACACACTGTTTCAGATGGTACCATACAAAATGTGCAACCCTTTCCCAACAACTCATGAACGATTGAAACAGCACCCAAGATGGTATCTGGTTTTGTACTGTTTGTTTGACCATCACACTAGTCAAATGTATACTTCTAGTCCGAAATTGCGAGTAGTTAACAAGCATTTGAACAGCGCACGATCACTAAGATTATATCACTGGAAGCGGGTATGCACCATGGTACCACGGCTTCAAAGAGAAGCATTGGTGCATAAATCACTTTACTCAAACCAAGGTTGAGAAGGTCCCCTTTGCCGTTATCTTCTTCAATTTTGGAAGAACACAAGGCGAAAACAGACCGTAGCTCTGATTGACAAGCGTAACTCAGGACCCCGAAAATCAGACACCACTCGAAACGCGTGATCGATCGAATTCAGCCGGTCATGACAAGCTTTATCATTAACAAGAATGGGACAGCCGAACCCGACTCTGTTACATTTTCAACCCGAAGGTCTCTGGTTAAAATCAAATCACCTGAGACTCCAGTCACATGCAGCGATCGTTGCAAAGCCCTCGGGATACTATCTTTAGTGTCTCCTCTGTTGCAAACACTGCTAGCGTCAACAAAGCTACAGTGGACCATCATTACTTGGCACAACTCCAGGCCCAACGATCACCCGAGCTTGCAGTTCAACAGAAAGTGGAAAATATAATAGCACCCTGACTGTCGTGTGCATCGATGTCCCCGAATCTACCGTCATCACACTGCGGGGTAAGTTGTCTGCCGACCAAGACCAGTGAGACTCACTGTGCATTTTAATGAACGTAACAGCCAAACCTAGCGAGAATTACTTGCCACCCGAACTCTGCACACTATGGCGAAAGCAGAATTATTAGGCTAACACTGCAGTCGACCATTGATGTAGTGAAAGCTGTACTCTCCACAAGTGCGCTACAACATGGGCCTTGTAAGGTGCGCATCTATCCTGAGGTCCCTGGAAGCAAGCGTCAATCAAATAAAAATTTCTCGGATGGACACAGCATAGTGAATTGTCTAGGCGCCATCTTTATTTATGGCCTGCTAGAACTTGCTTCTTTCCACGATAGCCATGAGGTCGGTAATCACGATTTGGAACAGTAGCGGTTCATTAGTGAAACACTTTCCTTGGACAACCTTATGGCGAGATCGCTCAAAAGGCTATCTCTCTCACCAAATTATAGCGGAAGCGGACCAAGAATCCTAAACCACCTGATTCAATCAGAGCAGACAGCAACGGGTGTTCGAACGTTGGCGGAGACATCGTTAAAACCTCTTGAATCCATGTGAATACCAGCCAAGAGCCTACCTGAAAAAGCAATCTTACCAGCGGGTAAGCATGAGCATCAATTTACTGCTCGGTCACGTGATTCTGCAGCAGGTCCGGACGAGGAATAGGAAGTACCTTGGCCAACCCAGTTTACAAAAGATGTGCCGTCATCGTCCCATCAGAGAAACGAATAACGGCCGACCTCGCACCGGTCGACATTCTACCACACTTTAATCCTTTGGCTCCCTATGAGCTCCTATAGACAGAGAAAATATCCTGCCTTTATACAAATGCTCAAGGCCTTTTCAATAAGCTGGCCGAACTGAAGGATCGCAAACTTTCGTAACCATGCGTTATTATCAATGTCACCGAAACATAGTTGCACACTGGGATAACAGACGCTGAAGTCTCGCTGCTGGCCATGTCAGTCATACGAAACGACACGCTTACGAAAAGAGCAGGGGTAATACTGTATTCCCAAAGCGACCTACAGTGCGAGGCCGTTGAGGATTGTGACTTACAGTTCGGCGTTTCCCTTTGGTGTCGCCTGCAATTACTTGACAGAGACACCTGCATTATAGCTTCGGTATACCGCCCCCCCCCCCAAAAAAAAATTCTACACCCAAAATGAACAGCTAACTTGCGACAGCGTTAAGATGCGGTCTAAAGCGAAAACACACTCACATCCTTATCATGACTGATTTCAATGTACACGGTTTAGAAACTTCTGCTACAGTCGGAGACATTCAAAGCGGATCTGTAAGAGCTTCTAACCATTGTTCCACTTTACAATCACGTCATTCTACCCACTCATTTCAGAATAAGTAATAGACATACTTTGCTGGATCTTGTTTTCACCAAAGAGGAACATATGATTGATCTAATCGTAGAATGCCTTTTGGGTCGCAGTGATCATGCACTCATCAGTTTCAACTTCATGTGCTATGCGGAATATGGCGACCAGAAGCCTGAGTTGGTGCGCACCACTACGCGCTATGACCGCTCAACCCAGCTAGTCAATGCCTCAAGTTCGTCGTTTCTCGCTGAAGGCCATCCGGAAGTCGCTTGGCTTGAATTCGTCAACAAATTCAATCAACTAGTTACGGATGCCTCAGCTACAATATACATTATTAATTATTTAACACTTGCCCAATAAACATTTCGTAAGGGACCACAACACATGAGTAACCACCATAACAAAAGGAAGAAGTGTTATGTCATGTCTCATGTGCTGTGTGGGCAGAGGGCTTCCCGGTTGCCCAGGCCGAGGAAGAGGGTTGATCTTAAAGATCTGACTCGCAAGGTAGTGGGACGATTCACGAAGACCGTTAACAGCCGGGTGGCTCATCGCGTTCTTTGTGTTGGGAAGCAGTCCACAGAGAAGCCGGTGACCACCAAAGTTGTTCATCCGCCCTCCGATAGATACTCACCTCCAGTTACAGAAGTGAGTGGTCAGTGACCTTATAGCCGGTCACATTGGCTTTGACAAAGCGTCGTACGAGCACTTGTGGTATTTAATGGAGAACCAGGTGCCCAGCTCAGAACTCCCAACGCTTTTCGATAAGGGTTTTCAATGGGCCCCAAACCGTTTCATTCATGAGGAGCGTGATACGTATTACTCGAGTATTGCACCATCAGGCTACAGACATGACAGTCCCGCAAGTGGGCTCGTAGCAACCGTCGCAATTCTGATACGTATTACTCGAGTATTGCTGGATCGCACCTGGACCCTTAGTCCACGCAAGAAATGAAAAAAAACACACACCGGATGGGACGTGTCAAAAACTGTAATAGATAGCTTGTAGGTTACACCAGATGAATAAATCGAAAAGGAACCAATCAGCACAAGGAAAAAGAGTGGACGGATCAGCTGTCGGTCCATCGATC